AAATATGAACCGCTGTCCAGTGCTCCCAGGTTTCCCCATGTCCTCAGTAACTAATGTCAGTCCATGATAAATTTTAACCGAAAAGTTCTTTCTTGGAATTAGGTTTCAATACCAATGCAATAGTAACCTCCTTCACCTATTTTGGAAGCACTGTTTCAACTACAGGCGACACAGGCACAGACGAGGATGTCAAAGTCAGAATCGGAAACACAGCAAGACAAGCGTTCATTAGCCTGAGATTTTCTGCACTCCACTCAGCATGTGGAACAAGATACGGATTTTCAACACCAACCTCAGTCAAGTCAGTGCTTCTATATGGTTCAGAGACTTGGCGTGTCACGAAAGGGATTTTCAATAAACTACAGAAATTCATCAACAACTGCCACCTACGCTGGCTCGCTACTGAAGATCTCAGATGGATTGCCAGAAAGAATAAGCAACAAGGAGCTCTGGGAACGAAACAACCAAGAACCTATCATGCAACAAATATGCAGGAGGAAATGGAGGTGGATTGTGTTGGGCATACACTGAGAAGGCCGACTGGGGACATCACGCGTCAGGCCAGTTACTCCAGTGGAACCCCCATGGGAAGCGACGAGTTGAAGGTCCGAGACGAGGGTGACATGGAGGAGGTCGTGTGAGGAGAAAATGAGAGCTTGTGGGCTGTCGTGGAACCAGGTTCAAAAGATCTCAGAGAACAGAGTTCACTGGAGACGTGCTACTGAATCCCTATGTTCCATTAGGAACCCAAGGGACTAATAATGATAATAATAATAATAATAATAAACAATGCAATAGAAAAAGTTTGTTGAAAAATTTGACGATGTGCTAACAACGATTTGCTAGATGGCCTCATTTTTTTCGAAGTACTTTAGTTTAAATTTTATCATTCAGTTTCACAGAAGACACATTTCTACATTGAAATATGTTTACATGTTCCTGTGTAAATGCGTAATGTAACCTCCAACAAGGTCTGGAAGTTTATGCCAATTGAATAGAATATTTCAGCTGAAACATTGTCAATCCCATAGAAGATAGATGACGTCGATTCTACACATGTAAAGTATTTGTCTACTTTGATTCAAGAGTACTGAAAGACCACATTAAGCTCACAGATTACTTGCTTTTCATGTATTCATTATCTGTTAAAAGTTGTGAGACACTTCATATTATTTCACATAAACTTATAAACTTTTATTTTAACTACGTCCTTATCAAAAATATCTACTTACCTCACTACTATCATAAAATGGTCACAACCCACAATTATATCAAGGTGTATCATTCTAATAACAATGTCATAACTCATTTTTCATTTTGACATCATTATTTATGTGAATACATGGACTTTGAGTGTTAACCTTGAAATGTTTTGACCTTTGAATTGCGGTGATTGGTTGGCCTAAAAGTAGTATGTACCTATAACCCCATGAGGACTTAGTTGAAACTTGCAAGGGCTTTAGAAGACGTCAGTCAATTCTGATATTTGACCACAGGAAATGAGGTGAATCTGGACAAAACCTAATCTAGTAGAGAAGAGTATATAAATCTAATAAGGAAACTGAAATAAAATCACTCAGGAAGTGGTTTTAGTCAAAATAAATTATATTATTATTTGTTTCTTGGGTTCCAAGTGGAAAATAGAGATTCAATAGCAAGTCACCATCTCATTCTCTTCTCTGTAGTCGCTTCAATCTGGCTACACAACTGCTCACAAGCGCTGATTTCTTCCTCACACCGTCTCCTCCATGTTACCCTCACCTCAGACGCCCAGCTAGTCGTTTCACCTTTGGCTTCCTTCAGAAGGCCTGACCTGGTGTGTGGTTTCCTCGAATGATCCTCTCGACTGATACCCAATTCAGTCGGTCTCCACTTCCTTCCACTGCATATTTGTTAGGTGATGGGTTGTTGGTTGGTTCGTTACCAGCCAGCCAGCCACAGTTCCACGTTATTTATTCTTTCTGATCACCTGATCTTCAGTATCGAGTGGGCGTGAGTGGCAGCTGTTGATCAATGTCTGTAGTTTGTTGGAAATGCCTTTCGTGACACGCCAAGTCTCTCAACCATCATATAGAAGCACTGACTTACTTGACTGAATCATTGTTGAGAATCCGGATGTTGTTCACACTTTATGCTGAGTGGAGTGGAGTGGAGTGGAGTAGATCTCCACACTGATTATTTCAAGTGAATGCAGGAAGGCCTGTGTTGTTTTCTTTCCGATCCTGGCTGCTTTGACACCATATGTACCTGTGCCGCCGCCTGTAGTTAAGACGATGATGCCTTGTCCGTATGAGTGAAAGAGACAATTTGCTTCAGGTTTCTCCCGTTGATGGTGAATGGTGTCTGATGTCGTTGTTGTTCGTTGGGTATCTTCATCACCTCTGTCTTCCCTACTTTCACCTGAAGCAAGTGCCATCTTCCTTCGCTGGCTCGCCTCGCACCACCCCACCTCTTCTGCCAACCTGTTGGTTTTCGCCAGTAGATCTTCGAGTTTGTGTGATATTAGACATTAGACAAATTATCATTTGCGCAATCCAGATCTTCTAGCGTCGTTTCATCGGTGGAGTCAGCGTATGCCCATCTTCTTGCCCTTCATAGTTGTCTGTTGCATGATCCAGTTCAGTCAAGTCGACCACAGTCTTGAAGATCATTGGTGGTAATAGGTCTCAACTTTGTCTTACTCCTGTCTCCTGTTTTCACTGCAAAGGCATCACTGAGCTTTCCATTGTGAATCACTTGGTATGTAGCATTTAGCTGTTTAATGATGCTGATAAAGGTTCGTCGTACTCCATAGTATTGAAGCAGCTACCAAATTACTTCTCGGTCGACGCTATCGTAAGCATTTTCAAAATCGATGAAGTTGAGGTAGAGAGATGACTGCCATTCTATGCTCTGTTCTATGATGATGCGTAGCGTAGTGTTGCAATTTGATCCGCATATGATTTGTTTTTCCTGAAGCCACACAGCCAGCCTGTTCCGGCAGTAATTTTGAACTCGAAGCATTTTTTAGTCAGTCAAAATAAGTAGAAAGCTATTACAATTGTATCTCATTCCTGAAATTCTGAGCATTCTCAATCTAATGGCTGTCCGACTGCATACATTAATTGCATATCCCAATGATACATGACATGGAGGAGGTCGTGCGAGCAGGAAATGAGAGCTTCTGGGCTGTCGTGGAGCCAGGTTCAAAAGATCTCAGAGAACAGAGGTCACTGGAGGCGTGCTACTGAAGCCCTATGTTCCACTAGGAACCCAAGGGACTAATAATATAATAATAATAAAAATGATACATGGGATATTGTAAAGCAACAACTAAGAAATTCTAGAAAATAACCAAACTTGTGCTGTCTATTCATTATTTAACTGTTGTTGCAGAAGTATAGCAAAGGATGAACGATTCTGTCAAAATTACCTTTTTGATTCTCCATGTTTTTGTACCTTTTGGTCTTCGTCATCAAGAATAACATGATTTACAACCTTTAGCCTGGTATTCGTCATAAAAATACTAATTTTATAAGTTTTTCCAAAAGGTAAACTTTTAAGTTTATCTAGGAAAGCTTGATGGGATAGTTGCTTTACCATCTCACAGCCGTCGCCATTCTATAAACCGTAGAAAACACCCATTTAATTATATGAAAAGAAGCAAAAATTGGTTGTAGCGAAATATTTCATTTTCTACTAAGTCATTTGCTAAGTTATACATTCGTGAGTGTATGTTAGAAACGGTAAAAGGCTGCAGAATCATTCCTGGTCAGGTAACAAAGTACATCGAATTACGATAGGAAACTATGCAGCAGAGAATATTTGCAGGAGAGTCATAGTTCTGTACAGACCAAGGCAAAGACAAAAGGTTGAAAATGCACACAAAGCACTAGGTTGTAATTCAAGAACACTGGTGCTTTGGCTATACCCACATGCCTTCATTCCATTCCCTTTTAGTGGCTTGGTTGAACCTTTTAGGGGACTTTGGAAGAGAAGAATATTTAATAAGCTTGTAAACTACCGACATTTCGGCATAATACCTAGTCAAATGTTTTTGATTACTCATGCAACCACAACAATGAGGCGATTCATTTCGATTGTTATGACCAGCATTAAGACCTAACACTGTACGAACAACACAAACCTAACGTGCAAACAAATCGACTCTAATGCAAATCAGAACGTTAACCACTATCAAAACAATACAATCGACACGAGAAGACTGACCGCTGACAGACATCTTTTTACTGTCTTAACAGCAGTCGATACAGTAATGATAGATAGCGGCTGGCAGTGGAATCGAGGATGTGCATTCTATCCTATTTAGGGCTCATCAGCTGGATGTACCTGGCTCCTAGTGAGTGGTGTTGTTCCCACCGGGATTCGGACTCGGGACCGATCGTTTCAAACGCCAATGCTCATCCTGGATTCTACTGCTAGCTACTATCCATCATTGCAATAATTAGAACATAGGTAATATCGAGGCATCGATACAGGAGCTTATATGCCAATAGAGACCGATCAGTTCGGTCCAGTCAACAATGATATAATACAAGCAATAATAATAACAGTCAGTACAGTTGACAGAGATGCTGAATATATACATTTCTAAATGACCTTGATAGCGCTTAATCCACATATAGGTAAGAATAATTAATAACCAATGAGTTCAGCCTTGAGAACAAAGATGACAGAAACTGGTAACAGTGTGAAAACAGCCATGTAGGTCATTTTAAAGTCATGGGCAAAAACAGTAGGTTAACACTAGGCAAAACTAGGAGTATATAGCATCAATCAATGAAGCTAATAGTCTCGAGCAAAATATTAGTTAAAAGAAATTACTTGTGATCAGTTTGTTGAGCAACCATTGCTTTTAATTTGAACTTCATTCAAAAATATTCTTATTTGAGATAGCTTGTCTCACAGTATACTTTATCATTTATTTCTTACTTTTCTCTATCATATTTTAAGTAGAAACTTTATCATATTTGTTTTATGTTGTTTATTCGATTAAACAGCCATCAAATTCCACAGAATCGTTAAATGCACAGACAACGGATTATTCCTCAGCTCCGAAGACTAATCAGAGTAATGAAGTCACTGCCGCAGCTGAGCTTCATCCAAACGTAAGTGATTCATTTTGCTGCTTGTATGTTGTTCCGTGAGAACGCTGAGTTTCTACTGAAATCGACTTAACTTACTTGGTGGATTGGATCATGCAAAAAACAGTGAGGAGCAAGAAGGGGGAGATACACTAGCTGGACAGGGAAAAAGATCCTCGAACATTTGGATTTCGCCAATGACATGTCGAATGCTACAAAAACTCGGAGATCTACACGCAAAATCCAACAAGTTGACAGGAGAGAAATGGCAGCGAAGATGGGAATTCAAGTGAACGTAGAGAACACAGAGGTGATGAAGATACCCAACCAACAACAACACCACCACCACCACCATCACCACCAACAAGCGATAATCACCATCAATGGGAGAAACTTAAAGGAAGTAGCCTCTTTCACCTACACACGTTGGCAGCATCGTTTCAACTACAGGTGGTGGTGGTGGTGGAACAGACGAGGATGTCAAAACCAGGATCGGAAAGATAGCAAGACAGGCTTTCAATAATCTGAAACCAGTGTGGAGATCTACTGCACTCCACTCCACTCCACTCAGCATAAAGTGTGAACAACATCCGGTTTCTCAACACTGATTCAGTCAAGTAAGTCAATGCTTCTATGTGATGGTTGAGAGACTTGGCGCGTTACGGAAGGCATTTCCAACAAAGTAGTGATATTCATCAACAACTGCCTACACTGGCTCCTTACTGAATACCAGATGGCCAAAACGATCAGGATAAGCAACAGGGAACTGTGGAAACGAACCAACCAATAACCCGTCTCTCAACAAATATGCAGAGGAAGAGAGTGGAGATGAATTGGGCATGCATTGAGAATACCATTCGTGGACATCATGCGCCAGACCAGGCACTTGAGTGGAATTCCAAAGGGAAACGGTGAGTTGGGCTTCGGTGACGATGGTGACATGAAGGAGATCGTGTGAGGTAGAAATGAGAGCTTGTGGGCTATCGTGGAGTGAAGTTGAAAAGATTGCAGCGAACAGAGTGGAGTAGAGATGCGCTACTCAAGCCTTATGTTGCATTTGGAACCCAAGGGACAAATAATAAATTATAGTAATAATACTTGGTTATTATACCTCAAAGAGTAAAACCTTGAACATTTTATCGCAAAAATTGTTATTAGCGATAAATTTAATCAAATATTTGATACAGCCATTTAGTTAGCAATAGACTTACAATATATGAATATCATAGGGCGGAAAAGTCATGTATTATCAGGTTATTTTTCGTCGCTAACTTTGAAGTTATTTACCTAGGTTTTTGTTAGTCATTGACATTATGATCAGATTTGATTAGCAGTAGGCTGTAGGAATTCTTGTGAATATGAGTCTTGATAAAATTCGTTTGCCATTGGAATTAACGGAAATCTTTTTATTTGCAAAATGAAGCAAACCAAAACGGTATAGTATGCTTGGCAACTTTAAAAATAGCGAGGAAACATGCAGATTGCTTTCCCGTTTTGTTTTGATTTCATACTTCGCGTGATGTAGTTAATCCTAATATGAAAGATAAACTAGTACTTTTATGACTGTCAATGATGATTCGCATATTTTTATAAGAAATTCTCCTATGAGCCTACAAGATACTTTAGAACCAGAATTCTTAGTCATTTCATAGTCGTCTCTGAAGTTGCCAGGAGTGGATTAGTTTTATTGGGATTCTATTTCAAAGTGGTATAGATCACAAACTTACATTAGATGAAGAAATACTAAAAACCTGAGGAGATTTTTCCTTCTAGTGTGAGACTTTTCAGCATTACGCATTCACCACTCCACTACGGATCAAACTTTGGACCCTTAGGTTTCATGCTGAACGCGTAAAATATTCAACCATTGTGTCAAAGTTCAGTGATTCAAAGCTTATTACTTCTATAAACTTATGATGCAGCGCGACTGACTATTCACCAACGTTCTTAGTTAGCATCCGCCTTACTTCTGACTAGTTGACTCCATATGTCATGGCTCATTATTAGAAGTGAGGGATATCTAACTGATATCCCATGATGAGTTCTATCTTGGAATAAAATCCTCGTAAACCTTAAAGTGTATTACCGTTTAGTGCTTGTTGCTGACATACTTTGAGTTGGATATCTCACAGAGGTCAAATAGAGAAACGGCCAATTGGAAAATGTCTACAGTCAATGATCAGACAGTCAAAGGAAACTACCAATCAAATACCGCTTCGTCACAGCAAACTACTGAGTCACTGACTGAGAAATCCTGGTAGTCCACTTCATATTGAAGTTAGTATTGGTGAAGTTGCCTAGAAAGACAATTAAAGCTTCATTATTAGATCACACAGATCAGAGAAGTCAAGGCTTTGAAGATCATCTATCTGAGTTACAAACATTTCCCATCATTTCGAAACACTCGATAAAATCATCAAACCAGAGTTTTTGCGCAGTTGTAGATATATGTTCACCATGTGTGTCAGGGTGTCAGTCTGATTAGATAGTAAGAATTCCTATTTCACTGTCTGTTAGAATAAACTGTAGGCGAATTATCATGAAAATAAGTTATGATATGTTTTAGATTGTAGTGCTATAGTTGATGCAAAGATAATGAACATGAAACTTGGTTGTATTGTGTTCTGTGAGCTGGGTTGTTTAATCGTGAAGGTTTCATCGTCTTTCTGGATGGCATCATCAGCGCTAACTTCATACTGAAGTAAGTACTTTAAAACAGGCCATTAATTTGGAGTGACTTTAAAGACCACCCTAGCAGTGAATGAAATAATCAATTAGACTTCCTTATTTTATGAAAATCTACCTTTCTAACATAAATAAAGTAAACTGATTGCCTATTTCAGTCGTTGCTTGAGTCACTCAAATACAGGGTACCAAGTGGTTACCTCAATATTTACTTCAGTAAAAGCTGCCGAAATAGCCATTCAAGTTTCAGTATTTCGAAAAATAAATTTATATTATTATTATTATAATTTGTCCCTTGGGTTCCAAATGCAACATAAGGCTTGAGTAGCGCATCTCTACTCCACTCTGTTCGCTGCAATCTTTTCAACTTCACTCCACGATAGCCCACAAGCTCTCATTTCTACCTCACACGATCTCCTTCATGTCACCATCGTCACCGAAGCCCAACTCACCGTTTCCCTTTGGAATTCCACTCAAGTGCCTGGTCTGGCGCATGATGTCCACGAATGGTATTCTCAATGCATGCCCAATTCATCTCCACTCTCTTCCTCTGCATATTTGTTGAGAGACGGGTTATTGGTTGGTTCGTTTCCACAGTTCCCTGTTGCTTATCCTGATCGTTTTGGCCATCTGGTATTCAGTAAGGAGCCAGTGTAGGCAGTTGTTGATGAATATCACTACTTTGTTGGAAATGCCTTCCGTAACGCGCCAAGTCTCTCAACCATCACATAGAAGCACTGACTTACTTGACTGAATCAGTGTTGAGAATCCGGATGTTGTTCACACTTTATGCTGAGTGGAGTGGAGTGGAGTGCAATAGATCTCCACACTGCTTTCGGACTAGTGAAAGCCTGTCTTGCTATCTTTCCGATCCTGGCTGTTTTGACATCCTCGTCTGTTCCACCACCACCACCACCTGTAGTTGAAACGATGCTGCCAACGTGTGTAGGTGAAAGAGGCTACTTCCTTTAAGTTTCTCCCATTGATGGTGATTGTCGCTTGTTGGTGGTGATGGTGGTGGTGGTGGTGTTGTTGTTGGTTGGGTATCTTCATCACCTCTGTGTTCTCTACGTTCACTTGAATTCCCATCTTCGCTGCCATTTCTCTCCTGTCAACTTGTTGGATTTTGCGTGTAGATCTCCGAGTTTTTGTGGCATTCGACATAAGTCATTGGCGAAATCCAAATGTTCGAGGATCTTTTTCCCTGTCCAGCTAGTGTATCTCCCCTTCTTGCTCCTCACTCTTTGTTGAATGATTCAGTCGACCACAATCTCGAATATCATGAGTGATAGTAGGCGGCAGCATTGTCTCACCCCTGTCTCCACTTAAAAGCCATCACCGAGCTCCACATTGTGAATTACTTGGCATGTGGTGTCACCACATTGGTGTTGAATGAGGTTGATTAAGGTTTGTGACACTGAAACCGTAGTGTTGAAGCAAGTGCCTGCCAAATTACTTGTCGTTCGACGATGTTGGAGACCTTCCCAAAGTCAATGAAGTTGAGGTAGAGTTGACTGACATCCTATACTCAGTTCTGTGGTGATGTGTAGCATTGCGTTGTAATTTGATTCCCTCATGATTTGTTCTTTCTGAAGGAAGCCAGTGTGTTTCGATTGTGGTTTTGAATGCAGGGTATGTCTTAGTCTCTCCAGGATGATGCGGCCTAATATTTTGTTCAGGTTGTGACAGCAGTTCTTGCAAAGACTTACATCACCTGTTTTTATGAGTTTGAGGAGGTAACCCTTCTTCCAGCCAACCTGTAGTTACCTTCCCCTCCCTCCAGACCTTCGGCATTCCGTGGTGTGAGCATTTCCGCTGCTTTCTCTGCGTCTATTCTCAGTGCTTCCGGCGGGTGTTATCAGAATGATCTTCCAATTTAATCGTTCCCGGAAGAGTAGTAGCAGACCAACCGATAGGCTAACAAAAGAGTCACCAATAACTCTTGTTGCATTCAGTTCAATCGATAGATCTTAAGTACAGGAACTCAGAGGTAAGCCTAAGCAACATACTGACATTAACACATGTAAGGTCTTAAACTCATGCAAGTAGTAAAGCTATATTTCCATCTGTGTGTCGGGTTATATATTCCTACTTGAGAACCTTATTTAACGTCATAACAAAGCCTATCCACTTTGAACAGTAATCTCATTGCATCCAAAGTAGTGGAGCCTTGTGTACTTATCAGTTGAAAGAATATATTTATATTGTGTCAGTCGGTTAGTGTATTTACTCTAGATATCTAACCAAGGGCTGACTGAAATTTTATCTCTTTCCTAAGTATGCTTGTGACACAAAACTTCATTTTAGCCTCAGTCATCACATATGTATGTACAATGCAACCATATGAGAAGATCAAGAAACCTTTGGATACTTCCTTGAATAAGATTAAGAAATCTACAACCGATCTGATACACCGATTAAAGCCATCTCTAGGTGAATCTCAATGGTTTAACTTAATGCCAAATACTAATAATCCTAGCAGGATTTATGGAACTATTAAGGTTCATAAACCAGATTTTCCCATTAGACTCATATTTGATATCCAGAACACCCCAATATATGAACTACTACAGTACTTAGCATCCAGATTATGTCCTATTAGAAAACTTTCAAATTCCAGACTAGTAAACCCTTACGAGTTAAAACTCAGGCTTAATGACCTACATATAAAATGGATGAAAAAAATGGTTAGCTTCGATGTAACTAGTCTTCATACTAAAATACCAATCAATATGGCACTGGAGGCAGTCAGAAACCAACTAAATATTGACTCAAAACTCACTCACAGAACTAAGATATCGGTTGATAAGATAATATTAGGCATATAATTGTGGCTGACCCCCACAATCTTCAAGTTTCAGGACAAAATATACAGAAAAACAGAAGGAGTAGCAATGGGATCACCAATATCCCCAATCGTAGCAGATACATTTATGGATAGTTGGGAAAACATGGCTATACAAACGTCTAGTCCAACACCAAAAATATGGTGGTGATATGTGGATGACATATTTACTGTGTTGAAATTGGGACATCTCGACAATTTCCTAACATATATATAAATTCAGTAGTACGGGGAGAATTACCTATGTTGGACTGCAGGATAAAACGAAGGACAGATGATGGTTTTGATACTATAGTTTACAGAAAACTGACACATTCCAACAAGCATCTAAACTTCATAGAATCTCATCCAATATCACTTAGCACCAGTTTAGTCAAATGCCCAAGCAGAATTTTACGGCCTTGATGATATCACTGGTATTCAGTGAACATCTTTCTGACAATGTTGTATCTGAGCTGATACATTAGAAATAATATCTAGGCTATCATTAATTGGAATACTAGTATATAAAAGGTTGGTGTCATTATTATTATTATTTGTCCTTTGGGTTCCTAATGAAGCATACGGCTTCAGTAGTACGCGCTCTGTTCTCCGAAATCTTTCGAACCTCACCCCACAACTGCCCACAGGCTCTCATTTCCTCCTCGCACGATCTCCTCCATGTCACCCTCTCCTCCAACGCCCAACTCGTCGCTTCCCATCTAGGTTCCACTCCAGCCACCGGCTTGACACGTGATGTCCCCAGTCGGTCTTCTCAGTGTATGCCCAATTCATCTCCACTCTCTTCCTCTGCATATTTGTTGAGAGATGGGTTATTGGTTGGTTCACTCCCAGAGTTCCTTCTTGCTTATTATGATCATTTTCGCCATCTGATCTTCATTGTCAGTGTCCAGTGAGCGTAGGCAGTTGTTGATGAATATCACTACTTTGTTGGAAATGCCTTTCGTAACGCTCCAAGTCTCTCAACCATCACATAGAAGCACTGACTTACTTGACTGAATCAGTGTTGAGAATCCGGATGTTGTTCACACTTTATGCTGAGTGGAGTGGAGTGGAGTGCAGTAGATCTCCACACTGGTTTCAGATTATTGAAAGCCTGTCTTGCTATCTTTCCGATCCTGGCTGTTTTGACATCCTCGTCTGTTCCACCACCACCACCACCTGTAGTTGAAACGATGCTGCCAACGTGTGTAGGTGAAAGAGGCTACTTCCTTTAAGTTCCCCCCGTTGATGTCATAGCTTTTCATAATTTCATTTTCCTCAATATAAAGTAGGGAATTTTTGTACATACAATCATGTGATTCAGTTGGACCAAATTTATTTTGTTTTATATTCATTGAGGATTAAAAATACCAAAGTGATGATTATCATTCACCCAATGCCCAAATTTTTTCAAGATCTATAATATACTCTAATTAAAACAATAGTAACAGTAGCAATATATATATATATATATATATATATATATATATATATATATATATATATATATATGAGAAGTATATTGTATCCTATTTCCCTTTTGTTTCAGCCACCTCAAGTTAATTCTCTTGTGAACAATTTATTGCCTAATCGGGCACACATCTCTTCAAAGCCTATACTACCCACACCTCCCCTTCCACTGCCGCCACAACAACAGCAGCAACAACAACCTAAACTTGGTTGTACACCACCAGTAATCAATTCCTTGAAACCTAGAAATCAGACGATAATATCTCAAATGGCACAATTACTACAAGAAAGAGGTATAGTTTCATATCGTAGTCGACCAATGCCTTCTGGAGCAACGCATTTATATCCAGGATCACATCCATTATTAGTTTCATCAGCTCCTGCATCAACGGAACATCCTAAAATGCCTGGAGAAGTTACTGGTGACAATGATGACAATAACAATAAAAATAACAACAATGCTGCTGATGACGATAATGCAAAGAACCGAAAGAATACCACTAAAACTGGAGGATATCATTCACCGCTGATGGTTGAAGTGTGTAACCTTAATGTTGAAGTGTCCTGTTTTATAAAATTTTCATTCATTTCAGTTAAATATCGCTTGACTAGTATATTTGTACATACATCCATAAGGATTGTTGTCAACAGTTCGGACGCTCTTTCCAGTGATAATAAACTTAAATACACATTGGTTATCATTGAAACGTTCAGAAAAGATTCGTTATATCTCACTTTTCAGCTTGATAGGTATAAGTGCCTTTCAAGAAATTAAAATGTAAAAGAGATTTTTCTCTGAGCAAATTGCAAATCTTGACCGATAGATTTCAATCACTGCTAAACATTGAAGACTTGACAATTACATGAGTTATACGCTTACATAATTCAGTTCCAAAAGGGGTTGGTTGAAGCCTTAGTAGTTTAGTGGTTATATTTCTCTAGTAAACACTGAACGACGCAAGTTCGATTCATCAAGAGAATACCAGTTTCCTCATAGTTGCAGACATGCCTCCCTGATGAGTGGCAATATACATGAAATCTAATTTGGCGAAGCTTCGCCACCCTCTGGCACATTTCTGTTAATTTAGATATTATCTTTGAAGTGCCATTGCTCTTTCCAAAGGAAGCTAGCAGGATAAGTAGAAGGTAGTAGGCTTTAAAGACCATTCCTATTAGTCTTGCTTGTATTACACCGTCGTTGATTGGAACGAATTAATCAGTCTCTGTTGGCATATGGGCTCCTGTGTGGATGCCTCGACATTGCCTGTGTTTTAGTTATGTGTAGTAATGATGGGCAGTGGCTAGCAGTGGAATCCACCATCCGCATTTCGTCCTATTTAGGACTCGTCGGATGGATGTACCTGCCTCCCAGTGCAGAGTGATGTTCTTCCCACCGAGACTCAGACTCGGAGGCGATCGCTTCAAACGCGAGAGCATTACCCACTACGCCACCGAGCCATGATAGTCACTTCTTGTGCGACGGGTATAGGTTTAGTGTTATTGCTCGTATTGCACAGTCGTTGAGTGGACCGAATTGATCAGTCTCTGTTGGCATATGGGCTCCTATGCGGATGCCTCGATATTGCTTGTCTTTTAACTATGTATTGTGATGATGGGCGCATCCTGGATTCCACTTCTAGCCACTGCCCATCATTACTATTTCTGTTAGTGAAAGCAAGTAACTAACTATCAGTCGACTGACGTTCAACAAATTTTAATCAACTGAGATATAAGAGGTATAGTGTAATGGGACCGCTTACCTTGTCGTAACTTTCAACATTCTAACATGGTTTCTTCAACAAGTACAACATGTTTATTCGCTCTGAGTCATTGAAACAAACAGAAAGAGGCTGTTCACAGAAATAATAGCTAGAGAATCGGCTAGATGAAGTTGATGCTACTTCAAGCAATTTAAAAACAAGAATTGTTTGATGTCGTGAACTAAGAAGCGTGACATGACTGCCACACGAATGAAAAAGATTTTTAGTTCAGGATGAGGATGATGATGGTTTTGATGTTCTCTGATTTTTCATCGCTTGGGTAGCTGATATCCCCAAGGATAATTTCATATCAAAGCTCAGAGACTAGGAGACCACAAAAAGCCGCATTTACGAGCTCAAGTTGACAACGTGAAACGAAATGCTCCATTGAGATAATAAGAAATCTTTAATTACTGACACTCATTTCTCCGCAGAATGAACCATTCAGAAAACAAAGTATAAATGTGCACAATTTTAACTCATGTAGTTGCACAGTAGAAAGTCAGTCGAACTGCTGACTCAAATTACCAATCAAATTTATGAGATACTTACGTCTCTGATTCAGTAACCTTCAACTTAAATGGTGCTTTATAATTTGAAGTATTTTGTCTCACCAGACCTCAGAAATATTACCATCCTGTCTCAAAAACATTAATGTTTGGTCACATCAACAAAATATCCATTAGGAATAGGCATGACGGATTCAGATAAACATTATTCTTATAGTTAGAGTTTGAGATGTATTTATAATACTGCACTAAAAGCCGAATCCACCCGTTTCAATAGTACGAATGAAGAGGTGTACGGCCATCATGCAATTTGAGAATCCTACTACATTTTCATTCAATAGAAATTTAGACTGATTAACACTGATATTGCTCCTGTTGATTTTTGAATCGTTTACAGCATTATTATTATTATTTTTCCCTTGGGTTCCTGGTGGAACATAGGGATTCAGCAGCACGTCGCCATAGCACTTTGTTCCCTCGAGTCTTCTGGACCTGGAACGACGACTTCCCACGAGTTTTCATTTCTTCCTCACACGATCTCCTCTATGTCACCCTTCCACGCCCAATTCATGATATCCTCTTTGGATTCCACTCCAGCAGCCTTGCCTAGCGCGACGTCCCCAGGTGGCCTTCTCAGTGTATGCCCAATTCATCTCCACTCTCTTCCTCTGCATATTTGTTGAGAGACGGGTTATTGGTTGGTTCGTTTCCACAGTTCCTTCTTGCTTATTCGGATCATTTTCGCCATCTGATCTTCAGTAACGAACCAGTGTAGGCAGTTGTTGATGAATATCTGTAGTTTGTTGGAAATGCCTTCCGTAACGCGCCAAGTCTCTCAACCATCACATAGAAGCATTGACATACTTGACTGAATCAATGTTGAGAAACCGGATGTTCGATCCTGGTTTTGACATCCTCGTCTGTTCCACCACCACCACCACCTGTAGTTGAAACGATGCTGCCAACGTGTGTAGGTGAAAGACGCTACTTCCTTTAAGTTTCTCCCATTGATGGTGATTGTCGCTTGTTGGTGGTGATGGTGGTGGTTGTGGTGTTGTTGTTGGTTGGGTATCTTCATCACCTCTGTGTTCTCTACGTTCACTTGAATTCCCATCTTCGCTGCCATTTCTCTCCTGTCAACTTGTTGGATTTTGCGTGTAGATCTCCGAGTTTTTGTGGCATTCGACATAAGTCATTGGCGAAATCCAAATGTTCGAGGATCTTTTTCCCTGTCCAGCTAGTGTATCTCCCCCTTCTTGCTCCTCACTCTTTGTTGAATGATTCAGTCGACCACAATCTCGAATATCATGAGTGGTAGTAGGCGGCAGCATTGTCTTACTCCTGTCTTCACTCCAAAGGCATCACTGAGCTCCCCATTGTGAATAACTTGGCATGTGGTGTCACCACATTGGTGTTGAATGAGGTTGATTAAGGTTTGTGACACTGAAACCGTAGTGTTGAAGCAAGTGCTTGCCAAATTACTTGTCGTTCGACGATGTTGGAGACCTTCCCAAAGTCAATGAAGTTGAGGTAGAGTTGACTGACATCCTATACTCAGTTCTGTGGTGATGTGTAGCATTGCGTTGTAATTTGATTCCCTCATGATTTGTTCTTTCTGAAGGAAGCCAGTGTGTTTCGATTGTGGTTTTGAATGCAGGGTATGTCTTAGTCTCTCCAGGATGATGCGGCCTAATATTTTGTTCAGGTTGTGACAGCAGTTCTTGCAAAGACTTACATCACCTGTTTTTATGAGTTTGAGGAGGTAACCCTTCTTCCCGCCAACCTGTAGGTACCTTCCCTTCCTTACAAACCCTGTAATTATACGTCAAATCGTATAGTTCAAAGGAATGTCATTGGGAATATATTGTGCCTGAAGGCTATGACTATGTTATAGGTCTCATCATAAATGATATGTTTACAGGAAATTGCGAAATACTTAGCTTTCTAAGATAGGTTTACAGAATTGCTGATGGTAGATGTGAAGGTGATTCAGAGAAGTTCTTCACTGACTTAGTGAATCACGAATTTCGAATTAAGTAAAACGTTAACAAACAGATCATTCACTTTATTAGCTAAAAATAACTGAAATAATAATGGCGAATATTCATTAGTATGAAATTATTCAACATCGTCCATAGACTGATCCGTTATCTCTTTGATATATATAGTTATTTATCAATTTGCCAATTAGTAATTTTTTCTTTTCCCCCCTCTTTTACTTTGATTCATGTTGAATAGACTGTACTGAGTAAACTTCTGTCTGAATTAAACAAATCCCCACATAATGGTACAAATTCTAATGGTTTGGATAATACACTAACCAACAGAAGCAAATTTAGTCTTAGAACGAAAACTTCAAAAAGAATAGATGATGAAAGAAGACATACAGCAGAAATATCATCTACATATGACAATAATAATGATATTTATGATAACAATAACAGTAATAATAATGTTCATGTGACCGGTGCTACTAACAATAATATCAGTAGAGCATCAAATTATGTTAAAAATTTAAGTGAATCACAAATTTTTAAAGGTGATAAGAATTTACAGGAGAATAATCAGTCCGCTATGAAGTCAGCAGCAATTATGCAAAATGGTAGAAGTTTCTCCACTACTACTAATATTCAAACTACCAATAGTAGTGATAGTAATGACAGAAAAAGGAATAATGAATCAACTGATGATTATGACAATGGTAATAACACCTATATTAGACAAGCTTTTAAAGTAACAAAACCTCCAGAAAAATTAGTTACATCAAAGGTCTATGTAAATTTATCACCTTCATCATCAGCACAAAAATCAGCTAGTAGTAATCAACTTTTAGGATTAACAAGTGATCAACAATCATCATGTTATGAATCACGAAATTATCATCATCCAGTGAATACCTCAAGTAAACAGGATAATAAATGTGGATCAATTTCATTGAATGATTGGCTACTAGTAGAATGTAAACAAATCGGTAATGAATCAACAGGTGAACTTGATTTAAACGTAAGTTTGAAAGCTGAAAAGTTTTATTATTTACTGATAATTATATATATGAAAAATTCCTTCCATTTGACGCAAAAACATTATAAATCACAGTCGAGTTTACAAGCTACTTCCTTAAACTAGTGAATTCCATCTGAAGCTGAACTTGTCATCAGATAAGAAAAAACGTTGAGTTTATCTGCTGATGGATTGAATGGGACACCACTATAAAACGTGTAAAATTCAATAACAATTTCCTTCATCCAGTTGAGAATATGGTATACAAGACATGATTTCAGCGAAGAAAAATTTTTTTGCTTTTCGACGAAGTCATTTACTACTAAGCTGTACATTCGTGAATATATATGTTACAGTCGGTAGAATGTTTCAGAATTGTTTCCGGTCAGGAAGCAAAGTATATTGAGTAACTAAAGGAAGTTAATTAATACACATTTGTGTTTAGAGTGGGAAAATAGTCGGGGGATTATGAAATTAAATGTAATTACATAATACAGGATGAATGTGTGGCAAAGTAGGAAACTGAACGAAGGACTATAGAGATAAAATTGTGATTATGTAATACCGGATAAACCTATGATGGAGTATGAGAATAAACAGGGGATCATGAAAATAGGATTATGATTGCGTAATGCAGGTTAAATCTGTGACAGAGTAGGGAAATGAATAAGGTATACATGTGAAGTTACCTGATACAAAATGAATCTATGGCAGACAGGGCTTTATGATGGCCATGGCAAAGATAAAAGTTGGACGTGCCTTTTTTGCACGCATAATGCTGATTCGCACTTCTGGATGCCTAGTGCTTCAGTTATAGACAGATGCCTTGATTTTACTCCCTTCAAGTGGTTTGATCGAACCCTGTAGAGAATTTTAAATGAGATCTCGAAAGGAGCTAAATGTCTTGAGTTCACGAGCTGTTGTGTTAACGAACTGAAGATGCACTTCCGTTCTCAGTTAGCAAGCCAGGCTGGGTACTGTTCACGGACACGTTTTACAAGCGGACGCATGGTACGGCCGATATACTCAGATCCACAAGAGCAATTAAACTGGTATGTACACATTGATGTGGCCCAATGCGTCAGCTTGTCTTTCAAGCATTGACCGAAAAGTTTCTTGTAGGAGAAATTTATCCGCAGGCTAGCGGCAAAGAATGTTCTGTTTATGGATTTTGACAGTCGTTTCCTCAGAATCTCTGCAGCAATACCATTTTTTTAAATTCAAGATTCAACAAAAGAATCTTTTTCGGTGCCAAATATCTTTGTTCACTTGGGTTTTTTGGCTTTATGTTCTTATTTATGAAACTGAGTGGGAACCCGTTTTCCGCTAGGGTTCGTCGAAGTATTTTCAGTTCTTCGTCAGCCGTGTCCTCAGTATACATTTTTCTGATCCTCTAGGAAAGTGAATGAATAAGATTTCTCTTCCTACATAAGGAGACTGAACTCTGAAAATTAACAAGTTGTCCGTTTCATGTAAGCTTTTTTGTAGATCGATCTACGAAGTGAATTATCGTCTTTTCTTTGAAATTGAACATCAAGAAAATGGAAAGCTAAAAGTTTAGATGTGGTTGCTTTGATGAAAGGTTTTGATGCATGAATAGGTGGGCACCTCAGTGGTACTTCTGGAGCCCCAAGCCGAATGGGTGAACAATAGTGATCTACTACTAAAATTGTGCTTAGATAAGCACCTGTTTCTGCCCTGTATGAATTTCAGACGTAAAGATAGACACTATCTGACATGGCATCCACCGACACTAACTCAACACCAAACATAGGTAGACGAGACTGCTACCAATTATAGCTGAAGAGAGTCAGCAGAAGATTACAGTCCTTTCTGCAACACTTATTTAGACAGTGATAACACTTTGGTTTCACCACTTTATGTCTGCGTCTTACTGTACGTACAGAGACTTCAGCAACAAGACCATTGTGGTTGTATCTCAACGATGAGAACATTAAGAATGCTTTCAGTATAGAAATGGCTAGAAAATTATAGGAAGAGGACAACCTCATTCATCCTAAAGAAGCATGTCACTGGCTCTGCTCTGCTGGAAAAGCAAAATTGAAGACCGTAACCGGGTGTCAGAAAGATATTAGACAGGGTCAGAGGATCTCAGCAGCTTCTTTTGAATTATTGAATGCACATGAACTCATTTCTGCAGGTTCTGGGTACAACAAGGATCGGAAGCAACCAGGGTCGATATAAGAGAAATCAACACAATGACCGTGTGCAGAGGTGGGTTGCAAAGACTAAGAAGATTTAAAGTGTGTTAACAATAGTTAATCGTAGACATTTATTTATTTTGATCAGGCAAACAGGTATGCAGGTCAATGGTTAGTGAGACTAAAGCGGAAATGGATGGGTCCACGGTTCACTCGCAGTGAAGCCAATGGTGGATGGAACACTTAAAGGAGTAGTTTGACTGAGTTCTAGCTACTTTTCAGTTGTGTGCCTTCCAGATGCATCTTGAACTTAACCTGTAAATTGGGTCTCCAACTCTTGGAACTGGAATGAGGAGTAGAACCCAATAGGCTGGTATTAAAGGGATTAAAGAAGAGTGAGATTATTGATCGGGTTGACCGAGGTTGACTGGGAGTAAGACGTGATCTCCTCCTGCTGGTCTCAACCACTGATTGTTCCGTTCGTCAAGACAGGAGGAAAGTCCTGCCATGATAACCAGAAGATAATCACTTCAACAAACATGGTGTCTAATATTCTAGATTCTATAATCATTAGACGCTAAAGTGAAGCTGGATAACAAGAACGTGAGGAGACCAAGGAGGTTTCAGACTTGATTGTGGGTGCATTCATCAGACTCCCACCCTTCATTACGTTTTGGGACGTACGTGCATTTACCGGGACTCGAATCTAGGTGTAATTCTTGACCAGAGGGTGAAAACTGACTCTACCAAATGAGAGGTATTGTGACAGAGTCTTTCATTGAATGTGGTCCCCAGTAACACATCGCTATTTGAAGGCTCTGTATACGAAGACCCATGACCGCAATAATGCCTCTGAGGAGGCAATAAATGGGTTATCTGTATCGATTTCCGCCTATTACGGATATCAACTCTTTCAGATTTCATTTCATTTTGCGACCGGTATACTTATGGAAGTTATCTCATCTGACTCCACAGTTGTTCACGTTGTCGTAAGAGACTATTTAGTAGACTTAGGGCATTTAAACAGCATAATTCCGTTAGGTTAATATGTTGACAAAATCCAGTCTTCAGGAAAATACAAACTGTTGCTCTAGGACTGATCTGTGTCGGTGATTTGTCTCACAATAAAATGTGAGGTGAAGGAGAGCGTTGATAGGTTCACTTACTTGTTAAGTTGGATTAGCCATCATAGGTCAGTCAGTGACCGAAACAATCTCTGTAAGGATACAGAAATTTCAGAGATGCTCTCAACTCACGCCATTTATGAGGTCAACGAATTATTTGATGACAAACTAAAAGTTGAGTGAACCTCATAGTCTGGATGGTACATCATGAAACCTTCATTTAAGCAAAAAAGATCTCAGGTAAAGATTTCAGGGTGGTGAAGGTAAGTTACTTGATGACTTTTCGAACATGAATCAGTTAAGGTAGATGTGAAATATGCTACATTGTACTACAAATAGCAATTTCAGCTGTCAGTAGATTCATATCATAAAACGGTTAGAGGCAGCTAGAATAAGAAATGGCACCAATAAATGAAGTCACTGATCGTTGCTTTGAGCTGTGTAGAGATTAATGCAGACTACATAATTTAAATGCGGGATAGGATGGACCGCGGAAAAGAACCTAAAAGATTTGGATTTCGCCCATGACTTGTGCCTGATGTCACATAAACTTGAAGATCTACAGGCGAAAACTAACAAGTTGACAGAAGAGGCGAGGCAGAGCAGCCAAGACGGGACTTCAAGTGAATATAGAGAACACAGAGGTAATGAAGATACCCAACCAACAACAACAACAATAAGCTCCAGTCACCATCAACGAGAGAAACTTAAAGGAAGTAACCTCCTTCACCTATCTAGGAAGCACTGTTTCAACTACAGGCGACACAGGCACAGATGAGGATGTCAAAGTCAGAATCGGAAAAACAGCAAGACAGGCCTTCATTAGCCTGAAACCAGTGTGGAGATTTTCTGCACTCCACTCAGCATGTGGAACAAGATACGGATTTTCAACACCAACTTCAAGTCAGTGCTTCTATGTGATGGTTGAGAGACTTGGCGCGTCACGAAAGGGATTTCCAATAAACTACAGACATTCATCAACAACTGCCACCTACGCTGGCTCGCTACTGAAGATCAGATGGATTGCCAGAAAGAACAAGCAACAAGGAGCTTTGGGAACGAACCAACCAAGAACCTATCACGCAACAAATATGCAGGAGGAAATGGAGGTGGATTGTGTTGGGCATACACTGAGAAGGCCGACTGGGGACATCAAGCATCAGGCCAGTTACTCCAGTGGAATCCCCATGGGAAGCGACGAGTTGGTTGTCCGAGACGAGGGTGACAAGGAGGAGATCGTGCGAGGAGGAAATGAGAGCTTGTGGGCTGTCGTGGAACCAGATTCAAAAGATCTTGGAGAACAGAGTTCACTGGAGACGTGCTACTGAAGCCTTATGTTCCATTAGGAACCCAAGGGACTAATATAAATAGTAATACTTAATTTAAATTCACTTGGAAACAGAAGGCTATTGTTGGGGACTGTAGTCTATGAGATATGGTATGAGATATGATACTTAGGACTGTTACTCAATAATGCCTAATTCAATATTGACTGAATGACTTGATGAAATTTTGAAACATGCTAATTGAGAATAGAAATATAGTTCAACAACAACTTACACTTGTAGACTGCACTTTAAACTAGACTGTTTATGTATGATCTGGTCGTTCAATACTAGTTGGATTAAGGAGGCTTAAAATCTCTCCTCATGTAATCAGCATTAAGATACTTTTACAAGAGTAAAGGTTTTTCAAAATGATTGTCACGATGTGTCAG